CCCTTTACATCTGTTAGAATGACCAAAACCAAAAAGACAAGAAGTAAATGTTGGTGAGAATGTGGAGAAAGGGAACCCTGTGCACTGCTGGTGGGAATGCAAGCTAGTGCAGTCACTGAGGAAAACAGCAGGGAAGTTCCTCAAAAAATTAGAAACAGAAATACCATATGATCCAATAATTCCACTATTGGATATTTACCCAAAGAAAAAGGAAACACTAATTCAAAACCATATATGCAACCCTGCCCCCAGCTTGTTATCTGTTGCATTACTTTTGTGAAATCTACCCATATCCGCCAACTCCCAGGGCTAAGCTTCTGCTGCTACTCTTCGGGAAGGCACACAGCCTCCTGATATGCCTACAGTAATCATCAGAGGACGGTGGTACCAGTCATCCCATCCTTTCAATAAGCACACCAAGCTGTAAAACTCTAATTACCAACACATTGCTCTACTGTTTTCAAAAATGCCTTGAGGCATGAATCCTTCAGAAACTAAATCAATCAAATTATAGTTTCTTCAAAGGAACATTCTGTGAGGTAAGTGTTTGAGGCTATTTCCTCTAGTTCCCTTGTTTTTGTCTACCCTGTTAGCTTTTGGTTTCCCTAGAGACTCTTTCTTAAATAGTCTGAGTCTTGCAGTTATTTAAGTTGTAATTCCCTGTTACCAAATAAGAACTCTGTTGATATAGTAGTAAAGTGAGCGTTAGGGAGGAATTGTTCTTTAACCCATAATTAGGTCTCAGTGGTTTGGTGGTCTGTGCTACTTGGGCCTGACTTCCAGTGCTTTTCAGCTCACCCTCTCCTTAGGTGAGACAAGAGATACAGAGGGGGCTAGAAAAGGTATTTCCTTTCCTCACTTTGGTTATGCTTTGGTAAAATCCATGTTGGTTGAGTACTGGTAAAATAGATTTCCTTGAGGCAGACCTTTGTTAAGGAGAAAAGAAAGCTCTGAGCATAATGGTTACTTCTCGGCTCAACCCACCATGCCCTTCAAACATGAGCGGATTTTTCTCCACTCTTCAGCCCGGGAACCTTGTGGAATGCCTGGTGATAGTAAAACTCATGAAAGTGTGGGGATCTTTATAAGTCTGGGGTTCAGGAGTTTTCATCTCTCAAGCCAGTCTTTGCTCAGTCTCCAACAATTAGTCAAATAAATATCTTTAAATGAGTCCTACTGGTGGTAGTATATACTGCCATAAGTACTCAGGATCAGAAAAAATCCTTATGTTCCATGAAGATTCAGATATAATAGCTTTAACAACTTTAAAGCCCACCTACTCAGTTTAATTCTTGGAAATAAAATTAAAAATGAACAGTATATACTTTCCAATCGGTATCTTAAACATTCACATCTTTTCTGTTTGTTGTGTGTGACCTAACTTGTAGTATGATAAAGACTTGGAAATGTGGTGTGCCTGGGTGGCTCAGTTGGTTAAGCATCCAACTCTTGATTTCATCTCTGGTCATGATCTCACTGTGGGATGGAGCCTCGTGTCAGGCTCTACGCTGACAGTGCACAGAGCCTGGTTGGGATTCTCTCTCCCTCTCTCTTTGCCCCTCCCCACCTCAGAATGAATAAACAAACATTTAAAAAAAACAAAAAAAAAAAAACAGAAAGAAAGAAAAGGGGCACCTGCGTGGCTCAGTCGGTTAAGAGTCCAACTTTAGCTCAGGTCATGACCTCATAATTCATAAATTCATGAGTCTATGCTGACAGCTCAGAGCCTGGTGCCTGCTTCAGATTCTTGTCTTCCTCTCTGCCCCCCCGCCCCCGCTCTGTTTCTCTCTCTCCCTCTCTCTCTCAAAAATAAATAAAGATTAAAAAATTTTATTTTAAAAGAAAGAAAAAAAGACTTGGACATGTGAGTTCTATTTCTCAATATTAAACTAGTTCTAAACATATTTACCAACAAAATAATATGTCAACTCCTTAGCAAAATATGTAGGATCCTTCACAATTGGAATGTAATTTCTCTTCTAAGCAATATTTTCCTAAATTTTTGTTCCCTTACTTCTGTCTAGACAACTGAAAGAGAAACCAAACCAAATAGCTTATCATTTCCTCAACTTGCCACACCGTTTCATACTATTCGGCCTCTGCAACTGCTTGCCACTCTACCTGAATTCCATAAATTCACACCTACCTCTTCCATACTTTGTTTCACTGAGGAAATTTCTATTCATCCTTTAAACACCATCCCAAATATCACAGAGCCATTAAAAATTTCCCTAGAGCGACTGTATCCTTTACGTTTCCAAAACAATGTCAAAAAAACTCTTCTAGAATCCTTATAATAATAATAATAAAGGAATATGTATACAATATAAGGTTCTGAAACTACAGAAAAGTTTAGATTCTCATTGTATTATTTTAACCCATATTCTCTGAAGATTTTTTTCAAATTTAGACATTTATATAAAATATAAAATACAAAGCAATATATTTTTTAAAATTGTCTTTAGTAAAATCAGAAATGTATTAAAATCAAAGATGCATGTGTACAATTTCACTGTCATAAAAACTGACAATGAAGCTTTTAATTACATATTTTCTTACTGTTATTATATAATTAATTCTTGTGTGTCTACTAATAGGCAAGTGCCATGTCTTTATTTTATATCCTCCTCTGAATATATCAGTTTGAATTACATAGCAACCATTTAAAAGACTTGAGATGAAACACTAAATGATAGTTTTCTTTAATGAGCTTTACAGAAGTGTGGTTTACATGTACAATGAAATATACCAACTTCAGTGAACAATGCAAAGAGTTTTGACAAATATATCCAGTTATGTAACTACCACCCACTGAAATCATCATATAACATTTCCATCACCTCAAAACATTCCCTTGTGTCCCTCAGCAGTCAACTGCCTCCTATTTTCAGTTCCTGGCAACCAATGGTCTACTGTCTCTATAATTTGTGTTTTCTAGAATTTCATATAAATAGAAACAAAGAATATGTTTGTGTTTGGCTTCTTATACTTAGCATAGAGTTTTCAGGCCAAGGCATCCATATGGTTTAGTGGTATCAATAGCTCATTTCTTTTTATTGCTGAACAGTACTGATTGTGGATATAAATCCTCTTTCATCAACTGATGGACATCTGCAGTTCTGTTTTGTGCTGTTATAAATAACATAGCTGTGAACATTAGTGTAAAACTCTTTATATGAACTAAGGTTATCATTTCTCTTGGGGAAATTTCCAGGAAGAGAAATGCTGGATTATATTGTAAATCTATGTTTAACTTTAAAGAAACTGCCAACCTATTTTCCAAAGTTAGTGCACTCATTTGCACTCTGACCAGGAATGTATGAGATTTAAGGAGTTTTGCTTCTTGCCATCATTTGGTAGGTCATTTTTTTTAAGTGGAGCTATCCTGTGTGTGAGTAGTAGTTCACTGTGGTTTAACTTGCATTTCACTGATGATTGAACATCTTTTCATGTGCTCATCTGCCATCTGTGTATTTCCTTTGGTCAAAATGTGTAATCAAATATTTTGCTTTTCTTTTTAATCAGATTGTCTTCTTACTATTGAGCTTTGAAAGTTCTTTATATATTCTTGATAGGTCCTTTATCAAATATATGTTTTACAATAGACAATGTCTTTTTTTTTTTTAATCTTCTTTTAGAGTCTCCTTTTAAGAGCAAAAGTATTTAATTTTCAAGATGTTATTTCATCAATTTTTGTATTTTATGGTTCATGTGTTTTTGTAACCTATCTAGGAAATTTATCATTATTATTTAAACAAAGTTGTGGCAATTTTCTAAAATAACTGCTTCTGTCATTTAGCACATTTCTATTAAAGTATTATTAAAGTGATTAGTTACAAAACCTATTAAATAAAAATCACAGTAAAAAATCAGGACCAAATCTTTCAAAAGGAGATGTAAAGAGAAACAGATGAATACAATGTATTTCTTTTGTATTTGTTTCTTCTGCTAAAGAAAATCACTGCATTTATTTTAAAAAACAGGAGCTGCTCATTTAACGTATAAGAGATATGGTTGAAGTGATTTTTATGATTTTCAAGTGATCCCCTTAAAGGGAAGTGGCAGATGCTACTTAGCTCCTCACTCTGGGACACAGAAGCAATGGTAGGTGAGTCACCCTGGACAATGAGGATGACACACTAAGGGCAAGAGAGCAGTAAAACTGAAGAAACATGAGTTTTAAACCCCATGGAGCCACCATACTTTCCTAGTACCAATTTAAACCAAGTAACAGCAGATCGTAGATGCTGCAACCGCACCCGTGCTCCAACAGATAAAACACCACCTCACTGAATGCACTTGGAGGAAATCCTGTAACTTAAAGCAATCATGGAGTGGGTGTCTGGCTGGCTCAGTCCTTAGAACATGCAACTCTTGATTTTAGGTTTGTGAGTTCGAGTCCCACACTGGGTGTAGAGATGACTTAAAAATAAAACCTTTAAGGGGGGTGCTGGGTGGCTGGCTCAGTCAGTTGAGCATCTGACTTCGGCGTAGGTCATGATCTCGCCATTCATGAGTTCAAGCCCTGCATGGGGCTCTGTGCTATCAGCTACATGCCCAGAGCCTGCTTTGGATTCTATGTCACCCTCTCTCTCTACCCCTTCCCTGCTCGTACTCTGTTTCTCTCTCTCTCTCAAAAAAAGAAAATGAAACATTAAAAAAAAATGTAAAAAAATATTTTAAAAAATTAATAAAGCAATCAGCATGGTGCAAGACTCAGAGTAAACATGACAATATTAGTTATTATACTATAGTACAAATTTAGAGATTCTCTAAGAGAAAACCTCATAAAGTAGTATTCTTTATAAATATTGTCCTGTCTGGACTAAACAAGTTTTAAAGTTTTAAAATAAACAATTCAATTATTTTAATATTCCTTAGTAGATTTCAAGTGGGATAAGTTGCATGACAACATTAATATACTTCAACAACCATTTTCTTTAATATGACTTATTATATTTGGTCATAAAATGGTAAAAAGTACTGATGGAAGTTCTTACCATGGAAAGATATTCATTCGTACCCTGTTCTTATAAATCAGAATTCCTCCTGACATCACTCCAATCATAATTTCATTGTTACTTTGATCCTTCAAAAAAAGAAAATGACAAATCTAAAATATTGGACTTTTCTTGTTAAATATATTTTTTAAAACAGGATAAAGATTTTTTAAAACACAACATAACATATTCAAAGGCAGCACATAATTGCATAATATTTACAAATCCATACAGCAATTTTTACCTCATGAAGATGAAGAACATACTTCAAAGTTAAATGTTACAATATTAAAATTCATTAATCTACAGTAAAAATGATCTCAGGATTTCCCAGAGTTTATAACTGGAATTGACTCTTTGAGACATGGAATCAAAGGCCCTTCTCACCCTGTAGAATGATGAATTAGTATCTATTCATTCATTTCTAAAATTATTCTAACTTAATCACTGTGTAAATATAGTGCTAGAATTGCAAAAGTGAATAAAATATCCATATTCAAAGTTTAGTGAAGTGTAACCTATAAAAAAAAAACAAGATTTCTAATACAATGATAAATCCATAACTAATATAATACAGCAAAAAAAAAAAAAAAAAAAACATGGCAGTAGAGTAGGAAACAACTGTTGGAGAATTTGAACGATTCCGGAGAAGAAAATTTCAACTGTGCTTTGAGGAAAGGAAGGGTTTTCATGCTAACTCATCCAACTTGAAAAACTAATCTGCACTACTGAGAAAATGTAGAATTAAATTACTTTCCCAGATGCTAATCAACCTTGAAATAGTTTTGCTACTTGACTTAAAGCATTCTACAGGCAAGCGAATACAGTAACAATGCTCTTACCCCCACCGTTCATATCCTCAGAAGACAGAACTAACTCATGAAATTATAATCAAGATTTTACAACTGTGTCCCTAGGGAAAAAAATCCTTTAAAATGTAGTTTCAATAACTTAATTAAATTAAAAAACTTTCTAACTTGTTTGATAGGATAATAAATAACAAATGGCCAAAGTAACACAATACTATGTACTGTATGACCAATTTATTTAGCAATAACCAGCATTACTGTATACTGTTATGAGCCTTAAATCAGTTTTTAAAAAATATCAGAAGTTTGGACCAAGATGGCAGACTTAATATATGCTCCTAATCCTTCTTCTGCTTCCAGTCTGATACAACGGAAGATATATAAAAAACAATCCACTTGAAGGTATATAATCAATGTGCCAGACATTTTGAGAAATTTGTAAAGACTTTAAGAGGATAAAATCAGATTTTAGGAGGAAAAAAATATAGAAGACCACAGCCTGAATTAAACAGAGTAAAGAAAGTTCTATATGGAGGCAGAAAGAAGGTATAGTCAACGAATACAATTTCACAGACAACAGATACAGGAAATACAGGGAGCCCTCAAATTACTGTCAGGATGATCAGGTAGAACACAGCTAAGGTAATTAGCTCCTACCAACTCTAGAATCCTGTCCCATATGGATTGAATTACGGGACATGGAAATATGTGCAGCTTATCTAAAATTCCGTGTGTGGGAGTGTGGATACTGGGGACAGAAATTAAAGTGATCCTCAGAATGGATGGAGAACCTCAAACAGAGAAAGGCAAACTATAGGCATGTATTTCATGGCAATATTTTCCTTCCCTCCTCCACCATCACCTGAAGCAGGAGAACACTGACAAGCAAGTGACCTAAGAATCACAAATACAAAAGGAAGTACACAACCAAGAATTACTAAGCACTAGAGAAGAACCAATACCACTAAACAGAGATACCAAACTCAACAAATACATGTATCTATCAAGCTGCTATGTTGGCAGAAAAACATGCTTAAAAAAAAAAAAAAAAAGGAAAACATGTTCAGGATATCTAGGAACTCAAATTCTTAAATTATAGCTGTCTAGACTTGAAGTGGCAATTCCCAAGGTGATCCAGAAGTGAGCAAGATAAAAAGAAAAAAAAGTGTTATGACCTTAATGGACACCAATGCTATTAATTCCAACGTATAGAAAAATGCACGATAACCACCTTATTTTAAAGTCTCTTTGCTTTTCTTTTTATCACTTACTACTATCTAATATTATACTATGAATTATCTTATTTAACCTGTTTATTTTTTACGCATCTTCAGTAGAACTCAAGTAGCAAAGTACAGGGCCTTTGTTTTCCCACACTGGGTTCCTACGTGTAGAAAAGTGCCTTCTAGAGTTAACCCATGAACAACACAGGTTTGAACTGTGTGGGTCCACTTATATGCAGACTTTTCTCAATAAATATATTTAAAAAAACTTTGGAGACTTGCAACAATTTCAGAAAACTTGCAGACAAATCCTGGAGCCTAGAAATAGTAAAACAAAATTTAAGTTAGGTATGCTATGACTGCATAAAATATATGCAGAGAAAGGTAAACAAATATAAGATGCTGTATGAAATCATAACTGCACAACATTTACCAAAGTACACACTGTATTACTGTAATAATTCCATAGCCGCCTCCTGCTGCTGTTGCGGTAAGCTCAAGTGTTGCCAAGTATGGGCTTAACATATGGTATGACACTAACCATCTCCACCTGTGAAGCTGGGTCTCTCCAATAAATTGCATGTAGCAGCAAAAGCGATTTGTCACAGTTCATGCTTAGTTTTCAATGTGTTTAGTGTAATACCATAAACTTCCAGTAACATCATGGGACCCGTAAAAAGTGCTATTTAGTGATTGCTGGAAGTGTTCGCAAGAAGCCAAGGAAATCATGACACTACAAGAAAAAGCTGAATTGCTTAATATGTAGCAGAGACTGAGGTCTCCCCTGTGGCTCCCTGCTATCAAGATAAACAAATCCAGCATGAGGACTGTTGTAAACAATGAAAAGGAAAATCATGAAGCCATCGCTGTAACTACACTAGCATGCACAGAAATCTGGTACTTTGTTCAGAATGTTGTGCCTTTTCATCTAATATTGAAAATGCAGATTTTATGTGGGCACTGGACCACTGTAAGAAAGGGATGCCTATATCTACAAATTCTATTATAATGTGAGAAAAAGCAGAGTCATTATATGACAACTTAAAGCAAAAAGGTGTAGGAACTAAACCTGAAGGATTTAATGCCGGAAAAGGATGGTCTGATTTTAGAAAGACGTTTGACTTAAAAAATGGCAAGGAAACAGAAAAGCAGCCTCTGCCGAACAAGAGGCAGGAGGCCTGTTCCAAGGTGCCATTCAGAGAATCACTGAGGAGAAAGGGTATTTGCTTGAACATGCTTTCAATGCAGGTAAAAGTGCTATATTCTGGGGAAGAAAATGCCATAAAGGACATTTATTAGTAAGGCAAAGAAGCAAGCCCGTGGACTTAAAGCAGGAAAGGCTGGGTGAACTCGGCTTTGTGCAAATGCAATTGAGTTTATGATCAGGACTGCCCTCATCCAAAACTGCTAAACCTCCACCTCTGAAGGGAAAAAATGACCACCATCTGCCAGTCTTTTGCTTTTACCAGAAGGCCTGGATAATGAGAACTCTTTTTCTGGATTGGTTCCATTAATGCTTTATGCCTGAATTCCAGAAGTAGTTTGCCTATAAGGAACTGCCTTTTGAAGTTCTTTTGATATTGGACAATGTCCCTGGCCATCCAGAATTCCATGAGTTCAACACCAACGATGTGAAAGTATTTTACTTGTCCCCAAATACAACATATCTAATTCAGCCTCTAGATCGGGCGGGGGGGGGGGGGGGGGGTCATGAGGCCCTTCAAGGCTCATTACATATAGTCTCTATGGAAAGAGTTGTCCATGGTATGGGAAGGAACCCTGATAAAGAGAACATCATGCAAGTCTGGAAGGATCTTGAGGATGCCATGTTATTACAGAAAAGACCATGAAAGCCATCAAGCTCGAAACAATAAATTCCTGCTGGAGAAAACTGTGTCCAGATGTTGTGCATAACTTTACAGGATTTATGACAGAGCCAGTCAAGAAAATCATGAGACAAATTATAGATATGACAAAAAGATGGGAGGGTGAAAGGTTTCATTATGCGGACCTATCAAGAAATTCAAGGGCACCACACAAAAGGATTAACAGAAGAGGACTTGACAGAGGTGAGTGCTTCCAAAATCACTGCTAGATGATGAGGAGGAAGGAGAAAAAGCAATGTAGCAAATGAACTGTTATTTCACAATCTAGCAGAAGAGTTCTTGATTATTTAAGACTGCTTTTGACTTTTTTTTTTTTTTTTTTAAACACAACATGGTCCCTTCTATGATAGGAGCACTGAAACTAAAACAGACAGTGGAGAAATTGGTAACTATACAGAAACTTTTTTAGAGAAATGAAAAAGCAAAGTCAGGTAAAACTACAATGCACTTCCATAAAGTTACACCGAGTGTGCCTACCTCTCTTGCCTACACCCTTCTACCTTCCCCACTTCTTACACCTCTGCTCATCTCTGAGATATTAAGACCAACCCCATTTCTTCCTCTTCCTCCAGGGTCGACTCACCATGAAGATGACAAGGCTGAACACCCTATGACAATCTACCACTTACTGAATTGTTAATAATCGCCACACCATTCAGTTTATAAACTTATCTGCTGTCTGTGTGTGGGTTATCTTTGTGCAGAAATTTGACTGTATGAGAAGAACCATATGAAACATTTCTGTGCCAGCAGCAGCAGCAGCAATGTCTGAGTATTTGCCTGGAGAACATCATGTGCAAGACTCATGGAAGTGGATGGGCTGTCCTTACACAGGAATGAGGTCAGGGTTATTTAATATAAAATTAATAATGTGTTAGTTTTCTTAATATTTTACAATTTTGCTTTCAAAGAATTACATTATTGTGCAGTATGCCTTTCTTTCTTTCTCTCATAATTGGAGAAACTGCATATCAGACTATCATCACAGGTTAGTAGTTTTTTAAAAAATTAACAATGTTTCCAATACTGTATCAGGACTAGGACTGCAATATTATATGCCATAAATATTTTATAATGATTCATTTATTAAGTATATAGCTAGGCTACCAAAAAGCATTCACATTGCTACTTCTTCATTATCAACGTATGAATTCTTACTCCTGAAAACAAA